ATAAAGATGTTCTTACATTATTTTTTATTTTCTGTTTTTTGTTTGTGTGTGTATATATAGAGCTGTGTGCATTCGTGTGTGTGTGTGTGTGTGTGTGTGTGTGTGTGTGCTTGGCATGTGCACGAGCACCAAACTTACTTACCCCTTTAAGATATTGAGGCCAACTGGAGAGATGGCTCAGCCGTTACAGGCCCATGCATCTCTTCCAGAGGACCCAAGTTCAGTTCCTAGCACCCATGTTGGGCAGCTCACAACTCTCTATTACTCAAGTTCTAGGGGGTCTGACACTGTCTTCTGGCCTCTGAGGATACCCACATACACAGATATACATTCATACATATGAATAAAAATAAATCTTTTTTTAAAAAAATGAGATATTGAGGCCATTATAAAATTCTGTGAGAGAGGCTAGGGGTGTGGCTCAGTGGTAAAGTGCTTCCCTAGCATGCCCAGGACATGAGTTCCATCCCCAGCACTGAAAAAGGAAAGCATAGAGTTCTGTGAGATAAGCCGGGTGTGGTGGCACAGGCCTTTAATCCTAGCACTTGGGAGGCCAGCCAGCCAGATCTCTGTGAGTTCAAGGGTAGGCTGGCCAAGTCTAGGCCACCTGGGGCTACAGGGGTACGCTGTCTCAAAAATGATAAAAAAATGAAAAGGGTTCTGTGAGATAATGATTTTGAAGTACATTTTACAAAAGAGAAGGTGACCAGGGAAGGAATTGTGGTAGTAAGTTTTCTGTTTTAAAAATAAAGGGTTAAAACAGTTCAAGAAAGTGCTTATTGTGAATGTTCTATGTGTCAAGCACCAGTAGACCCCAACAGGGACAGATAAAGCATCTGCTCATCAGAAACCCCAAACCCAGCTGTTCTGGGGCAGTCTGAAACAGAGGCCCTAGTGGCTTGTGCAGAGTGAAATCCCTTCACTGTGGGGTGTGAGCAGTGAAAGAGAAGCTGTGCTCTTGTGGTGAGTGTTGGGAAGCACCCCAGTCTGAGCAGAGCCCCCAGAAACAAGGACCTGAGCTAACCTTGCTGGATGTGGGGAGGGGCAATGGGTGAAGCAGAAAGCTAACAGCCACCTCGGCTCTCATTTCTCTGAGTAGAGAGAGGGGACTTGGGTACGATCTGTCCATTTCCTGCCTCACACTTGGCCATTCAGGCTGCAGGACGGGTGGGGCTGCTTCAGCACCAAGGCACACTTTCCACTAGGAAAAGGGAAGCTTCTCCCCTCTTGCTGTCATATTTAATCCAGTATACAGTCACGTGTCCCATAATACAGGAGGGTTCTGGGTAATGTGTCATTAGGTGAGCTCATCATTGTGCAAACACAGAGCATGCTGTGCAAACCTAGACAGTATAGCCCTATACACCTAGGCTGTGTGGTGAGTGCCATTCTGCACGTGGCCCAGCATTGGCTGGAATGTGGGTGTGCAGTGTACGTCTGTCCTTACTTCTCTGCAGCTCAGAAAACTCATCGGTTGCCTCATTTTTGCAGTGAGGGAAGAACAGGGAGAAAGCATGAGGTTAAAAGCATGAGGCAATTTGTACCCTTAAAAGAAGGAATAATTCTTTTTTGTTTTGTTTGTCGAGATAGGGTCTTACTGCATAGCTCAGGCTAGCCTCACACTCCCAATCCTCCTGTTTCTGCCTCCTGAACATCTCGATTATGGATATGCAGCACCATGCCTGCCAAAAAGGAATATGTTTTATCTCAAAAAAAGTTAGAGCTGGGAGTGGTGGCACACACCTATAATTCTAGCTCTGGGGAGGCTGAGGCAGGAGGATTGCCCATAAGTTGAAGGCTAGCCTAGGCTACATAGTGAGTTCCAAGACAGCCAGTGCTATGTAGTTGAAACTTTGTCTAAAAAAAAATTTTAAAGAAGTGTGGGAAGCAATTCTTTGGTCCCAAACTTTTTAACAGGATGAAGGGATCTATTGATTATTGCATCCTAGAAGGCCAAAGGCAAGTTGACCATGGTGTATCCTTTTAGATTTCTGATGTTCTTTAGAGCAATCATCCTGGATAGTCTCAAATCCAAAATTTACTTACAGTTCCCACTGTAGCTCTCTCTGAGAGCCCTTTCAGCAGCAGTGAACTGAGGTGGTGGTTTCTGGCCTGGAAAACTGCATGGCAAAGCACTGAGTTCGTGTGTAAATGAACTAAGGCTGGTCTGCATGCCAGAGAACTGAGTTCCCATGTGAATGAGCTAAGGTGGGTCTGCTCTGTGCATGTGTGCATGTGTGGTCAGCCAGCCTCAGTTACTAGCCCTCCACCCCTCATCCCATAGGACAGCCTGAATCTCAGAGGCTCAGAGCCTCCCTGTGTGTTCTCTTTCCTTTATTTTCTATTGAAATACTCTTGGATTTAGAAGTCCTGCCTAGGTAGGACAAGGAGGACAGAAAGACTTATTAAATTGGCTTTACTGCTTAAATTCTGTGCGTTTCAACCTAGAGAACTACAAATCAGTCAGCTATTCGGAGTTCCCCAGTTGCTCCGTGCTGGGCTAAGGTGGCTGTAAATTTCCTTCCTTCTTTCCTGTTGTCTCAACGATTGCAGGCTGCTTCCTTTAAAGAGTGTAGCTGGACAGGGCTCAGAGACAGCCCAGCAGCCTGTGCCCTGAGCCATGAAGGGTTGAAATCTCCATGAAAGTCCTGCCAGCTGCAGAACACAGAGTGGGGCGACAGCTCACAGACTGACCACCTCTGACAGACTCTGGAGGGAACACTGTATCACACAGCAACGGACTTGCAGAGCAGAGCCCAGGTTTTTATTGCCTAGGACATCTTTTTTTATTTTTGTTAATCTGTTTGTTAAAATAGGGTCTTGCTTTCCCAAGCTGGCCTCAAATCCTCCTGCTTCAACCTCCTGAGTACTGGACTTACAGATATACACCACTACACACCTGGTAGATTTCTCTTCAAGCATTTTGCCTGAGTGGTGCTGGGAATGGAACCCAGGATCTTGTGCATGGTAACACACACTATACCACTGAGTTCCATCCTTCCAGCCCTGAAAAGTGTTCAGTCTTATAAATCAGTTCCCTCTAAGCTGCCTGAAGTTAGACCTGTCATGCCATAAATAACAAGATGACAGCAAGAAGCATAATGGGATTTCCTCACAATTCTAGCCCCAGATGCATCAATACTTGAGTTGGTAGCAGGTCCTTCCTGTCCACTGTGGGAGAATTATGGTCAAACAATCTCAGTGAAATAACAATACATAGAAGTGTGTGTTAAGTCTAAAGCAAGGCCCAAAGCCACATCAAAACCTCATGCCTGGGCCAGTGAGATGGCTCAGCAGGGTAAAGGCAAGTGTCAAGCCTGATGACCTGAGTTCAATTCCTGAGACCCAAAGGTAGAAAGAAAAACTGATTCCCACAAGTTGTCCAGTGACCTCCACATGCACATCATGGCACATGCATTTGTCTCCCTACTCCTCTGCCACAATAAATAAATAGATAGATAGATGATAGATAGCTAGAAGATAGATT